TCAGTGGCCCTTGGCTTGGTATGTTGGCAGAATTCGGCCCTCTGCGAAAACTAATTGAGGAACTCTGAGCTAGTCAAACGAGTGCTCAAACAAGTGTTGTGTTAGCGCCACCGAGACAAAAACTGCATCCCAAATGACGCACTGTACTCTATGCACTTATACACTATGTTCTTATGCACTATGTACTCAAGCATGTAGTGTATGAATTATATATGGTTATTTTGTCATTCAGCATCCATCGAGTCTGGTAGCCCCTCCCCTTCGCTACGTAATTAAAGCTGTGACAGTTGAGTGCATGAAGTGTCCAACATTCCATACTTCATTTTTTCGGTTATTTAAGTGCATCATCCGGGTATTTAAAGTGCACTTTTTCTTTTTGGAATTTTCAGTGTGAACGCACTACTCGCACTATTCCTATCAAAAAACGTAATAGAATAGTGCATAAGTACACAATTTGGGATGCACGTAAAGTCTTTATACTTTATACAAATTGTTATACATTAAATATACCATTTACTGTATTTCAAGTTGACTTGCAGTTTACACTACCAGTGGATTTATGCTTATGATTTATATATTACTAGCTCCATTTGCTGTTCGACTTGGTGTTTTGTGATGAGATTTAAAATTTATTGATTCTGGTTATGGCTTATAAGAGAAGCAAGTATGAATTTACTTCACACTTTACTTTACTTTACTTGAATTCTCTCACACCTTGGAATAATTATCAATAAAACCAGTCAGTAGTTTATCTGTTTCTGTGTGGGTTAAGTGCAATGTGTACAAAAAAGATCAGATTTACTTCCACCCATGTAATATTTACACTAAGGTATTTCACCCAAAATCTGACTATAAACTTGAACATGTTTATAAGTTTATAAGATTTAAAACATGGGCCTGAGTACTACTTCAAAGAAGCCAATAAAAAAGTATTTAATAGGCTAGAATACTAAATTACACTTGTACTTAGTATCTCAATCAAAAGATTAAGAAAAAGTATAGGCCAAATGAACTTTTCTGTAGTGTAAGCCAAGTATACGAAAGTATAATACTGTTAAGTGTATCTCTGATTTATTAAAAAGTAGACTGAAAGTATACTTGTATTTTAAGTTTAAAAGTATACTAAAATCACACTAATAAACTTTTTTTGTAAGGAAATGTCCCTGCTTTTCAGCTGCAATTGTACAAAATATTTATACATTGTAAATATTAAAAACTGCAACTTTAAGCACACCAACCAGGTTGCAATTTGAAATGTAATGAGCTACACACAAATTTACCGAGCACACAGATTATTGTGAGGCATGTGGACACTTCTGTTTCTCTCTGTCCTCAGCGGGCTTCCTGAACGTGCTGATGAACTGTCAGTGGCAGAGTCTGTGGTGTCGGGTGGAGGCCGGGGTTCTGAAGATGTATCGGGACGAGGCGTCAGAAGAGACCCCTCAATACACGGTTCAGCTCAGAGGGAGTGAGGTGCGACCCGGCCCGGATACAGCACATGCTTACCGCATTACCATCACACAGCACGGGGACCAGATGGCTGTACTAGAGGTACGGTAATGATTCGAGAGCTGCTTACCGCTCGTGGAGCTCTGTGATGTGATTTAGAGAAGCTGCACAGTTAAAAAGTGCTAACCTGCAACTGTTACCTTAAAGAATTATCTCTAAAAATAGTTTTGTTGTTAAATTATTGTATTGGTTCAGTGATGTTCAGTGAAATAATACTTTTGTCTTAAAACAATTTTTATTTATTTTTTACCAGATTTTACTATTTTTAGGTTTCCTTTTTTGTTATGGTGTAGGAAGTGTAATTTTAATATTATTTATATACTCTTACAGTGTAAGTTTCAAGTTTTAATAGTTTTGTTTTTGACTTTTTTTTTAAAATATTTCTATTAAGCTTTACTTTTTTTTTGTGGTAATTTTAGTACTTCAGCTTAAACCTATTTTCAGTTAGTTGCCTAGGCATCATTTTCAATTTTTGGTTAAGTTTTTTAAGTTAAATTTTTTTAGGTTTTACATTTTTTAAAATCTAATATTTGTATTTTATTTTATTTCAAATTCAATTTAAAAACTATTTTTAATAATTTTAGCTTTCGTTAACAATCAAAACGCCGTGTAGTAAATGTTGGGTATCCATTGGCAGGAATGAAATCGATCAGATTGAAGGGTTGAAACGTTAGGATATTATTTCTTAAAATTTATTTTACTGCCCACACATCATTTTAGGCAAACATTTTCTTTATTGGCATGCAGTATTTTCTTTATTGTGCACATGGTACCTTGGTAATGCCATGTTTTTCTACACATACCATGGTATTACCATGATTTTTTGAATTGTGATGTTGTGGTAATACAATGTTTTTTAGACATCACATTCCAAACAATACCAAAAAGTACAATAGTGCTTTCATAAATTTTTTTTTCATGGTACTAGTGTTGTTTTTGGCGGCCTGTTTTAATTTTAGTTTTAGTCTAGTCTTTGTGTGAAACTGTCATTTTAGTTTTTATTAGTTTTAGTCACGTTCATACTCTTTTTAGTCTAGTCAAGTTTTAGTCAACTAAAAGTCTGAGCATTTTAGTCTAGTTTTAGTCGACGAAAACTGATGACATTTAGTCTAGTTTTAGTCAATGAAAATTGTATTTTAGTTATCTTATTATATTATTGTTACCTTATAGACTCAAGAATACATCCATTCCAGACACGGAAGACGCTCTGATTTGAATTTACAACATTTATTTTACCAACCAAA